TAAGTCACTACTCGAGTAAGGATCCTTTACTCATTCTAAGGGGCCAGTTTGCCTTTAGTTCTAGGAATTCACCCTTCCCGCAGCCTGACTCATAGATTTGAGTTACCTTGCCTCTCAGCTTCTCTGCAGGCTAGTGAGGCATCACTTGCCTTTCACTTGGAGGCAGAGCCTTCATTCCCTGCAGGTCTTAGGTGTTTCTCTCTGGACCTTGTATCGGTTATGGTCAAACATCAGAGTCTGAGTACCCCTAGATCAAGACCTTTCCATTCCCCCCCCCAGTATATACTGCTTGATGGGCATGCTGGAACATGTGTTCAGGAAAACACCAACAAAAGCCCCCAGGTTCCCTTGCTGGGTAGAAAATGTCAAAATCTCTTGTGCCTAAAGCAGTTTTTTTTTAAATCTGATGTTGTCTTTTCTAATGGGCACTAAGACCAGTCCAGGGAAATACTCTGTCTACAGCAGTGCCTGTTATCTGGGTTCTGTGTTCAATCTCTGACTCAGGTGTTAATTCTTCAGGTGGAATCTTGTCCAGGGCTCTTTAAGAAGCTGACATTACATCTACTGGGCCCCATTTATCCCAAGATGTATTCACCTCACAAAGCTCCAGCTGATTAAGCTGGTAAGAATTTTCCATATGTAAACTGAGGTATTTTTCTCAACAGATTAAGTATTCAGTAAGTTGACCCTTCCCAACAATGCAGCTGTCAGGGCATCCCTACAGCCCTTTCCCCCAGGGTCCTATGAGGCTGTCCTGCAGAGGAAGGCCAGGATCACTTGACTTAATGTCAGTTCTCCCAGAACTAGCATAGAAAGGCCACATGCTCCCCATGCACAATCATCCAAGCTCTTTCTGCATTGAAGCGCACCGTGCAAGGAGCCGCTGTGTGAAATTAGAAAACATTTTCATCATCATGATTCATTTCCAGGTGGTCCTTGACTCCTCCGGTATCCAGGTTAGCCAAGTCAACCAGTGTCTGCCATAACCCTTAACAGCCATCCTGCAGGGCCAAGACAGCTGACATGCGGCAAGCCTGACAAGCTCATCCCTTCCTGATGATTTACACTCTTTGGAATAAGGGGAAAGGGTAGTCAAAGGAAAAGTAGCATCTGAAATAAATAGGCTGTGGCGGCAGAGCAACCTGTTCCAAATCTGCTTCCTCCATCTCTTGCTGGTCACCCCTTGGACACGTTACCTAACTTCAAGTCCTTTCATGCATCTGTAAAATGGAGTAATTTCTACTCTGCAGGATCTTCCAAAATAATCGACCTAGCCTGGTCTTAGTGCCAGGCACACAGTTCTATCCCACCTCACTGCTCAGTCAAGGAATTACAGGTGAATAAACAGCAAATAGCTACTTTTCTTTTTACAGTAAATATGTCCAAATAATGGTTTGTTGCTGCTGCCAGAGTTTGCTCCAATGTATTCAGAACTGAAAGTGTGAAGTAATCATTTTTCATTAGTTTAAATGTGAGAGCAAGGGCACTGAAGGCCTTTAAAGGCAAATTCAGTAAAAGAGGTTTGAGATCCTAATGTGTGTTCAGAAAACCACCCACTGACCATGAGTCTTTATTTGTGACCAACCTGGTACCAACTTCCCTTAGCAGTGAGTCACCAAGGACAGTGGGTATTGTCCATTCTAGGTTATCAACAGTGATCAAGAAAAGAAAATCCCAGGCAGTGGTAAATCTAAGAAATTCTATCCGGAATGTATTTTATATGTGCATGTGTGTATTTTTTTTCTTGGCAGGAGACTTACCTTCCTAATTATATTTCCCTTAGGCTATCATTAAAATTAGTCTGCGTTCCCCAAACACACACCTCTGACAGCAGGGGGAAGGCAGCCCATAAGGGACAGGGGAAGGTCTACCTTGCATTAAGTGTTTGAAAATACACAGATATGAGTAAATCTGTGAGTAGATATGATTGTGTACACACACACACACACACACACACACACACACACACACAGACTTCTGAAACTGTCATGTGAGAAACACAGTAACACAGAGTGGCAAGGAAGTTGTTGCAAAACTTCCCCAAAGCTCAGAGAACAAAACCATAAAACCCTTTAGAAAAGCACCTTGGGCCATCACTCACGTGCTTTATTAACCTCACTATCAGCTTTTACCTGGTAGGATTAATGCACGGAAACCTTTCCCCCCCCCAAAATCCTGTGCTTTTTTCCAGAATTCCTAACATTTCTTTAAGAAAAGTCAAAAGCAGAGTAAAATGTGCATTTAGTTCCACACATGGACACTTGTGCTGAGAAATGGATTTCTATTTCTGTAGATTTTTCTGATTAATGCTGAACTTTTAGAAATCTCCTCAAACACTGATGAGTAAAAAAATTCAACCCTACGTGAAAACTGAACTTGGACAATTATTTGCATATTCTAATGACTACTTTACCATTGGACAGATAATTTATATTCAGTAACCAAGAAGATCTAGTGACACATTTTCCTAATACTACTTTCATCTTTATCCTGTGGCAGTTGATGCTGCTTCAAGGAATTTGGGATTGAGTAAACATTAAAAGTACTTTATTCTAATAGGATGAGTACATTCCAGAGCACATTTCCTTTGAACCATTCCCAAGCATTAACAGTGGTATTAACTTGCTGTGTTCTAAGAGGAACTTCCCAGTTGCTTTGGCCAATATTTTCTTCACTAGTGAAAATATGGAAACAGATCACCAAAAATTAACCTTAACATGAACAGAGAGCATCCTGATTGTTCACTTCAGGATTATAGCACTCTAATGCCAAACTGCTCCTGGTTCAAATCAATGTTTGTGTTTTGAAAAAATATGCGATCTGGGCCAGAATGCAGTAAAAATCTAAAATGTGGTACCACTGAGAAGCCATGCCTTTAGAATAGATATCTGTATCTTTAGGGATCTCTTCTCTCTATACTTTTTAAGTTAACCTAAAACAATAAGATATTATAGGGCATAATATACTACATTTCATGTCAAAAAAGAGGGAAAAGAAAAATGTCTAACCATATTTGCTTGTACATACTGGGGGTGCCAAAAAAACGTATACACATTTTAAGAGATGTGTTATTTATGCTCAAGCAGTAGTTTGCCGTAATCAGAAGTGTCTGGATGCTGATGGTAACTACTTTGAGCACCTCTTGTAATTGCAGAAGTCAAACATGACTTGTATTCATCTTTTGTTATCAGCGTATATTGAGTATTACAATTTTAATAGTTTTTTTTCCTTTCTTAAAATGTGTATACATATTTTTGTCACCCTCTGTATATAAAGAAACTTTGGAAGAAGATGTATGTATATCTCTTCTTATAAGTTTATCTAGGGCACGAGGGATATCTGGGAAGATGGGCAGGATCAGGAGAAAAACTTTCACTCCGTACCTTTATATATGGCTTTGGCTTTTAAACCCTGGCAATGTATTACCTACTTAAAATCCAAGTTAGACAAGTAAATCTACAGCATTGGCCTTACTGACGGACTTGAATTCCTATATTACCATATGTCATCTTTCAGATAGTTTTCACATATATAAAAAGGATTTTTAGAATAGTTAGTTTAAAAGTAGAAACTGGGGCGGCCTGATGGCTCAGTTGGTTACAGCGCATGTTCTTAACAAGGTCGCTGGTGCGACTCCCACATGGGATGGTGGGGCTGTGCCCACCCAATAGATGGAAAGCGGTGACTGGACTTGGAGCTGAGCTTGCACCCTCCAGAAATAAAATTCTAAGAGTGAAGGAGAACAACTTGACTTGGAGCTGATGAGTCCTGGGAAAACACACTGTTCCCCAATAAAGTTAAAAAAAAAAAAGAGAGAAGAAACTAAATTTGTAAAGTGTACCACAAATGCAGAGTTATGTTTTTTCCACTAAGTTCTAAGTTGGATGAATTTTCTCAGTGCTTTCTTTCTTACTGCCAAAAAGATAGAAAGATGTACTTGGTAATTTGGCATTTGAGTGAGAATACATATGTACAAGCCTCCTGTAGTAGATATTGTTATTAACATACTACTTTTTAGCTATGCAAATAGACATATTCTGCCAACAGAAGAGAAAGTAGAATTTTGTGCAGCACCATCTACACCTACTTTTATTTTGGCTCTGTAATCACAAATGATAAATTTTGCTTCATGTAAACTGTTAGATTTCTAATACCCAGTAACTCAAGTTTAAAAATGCAAGTCAATTTTTTTTTATCAAAATAGGTGCTAATTACTGATTATTTTTGAAATAAAATATAAATCTAAGAGTCACAAAACGTTTTTCCTTAAGGTAGAGAGTGGGTGAAGTGTTTTAAAGAATAATAATTTAAAAATGACTTTGTAAAACACAAACCCTTCACATGCTATTAACTGAGACTTTGAAAAAGTCAGTTCTCCTAACAGAGCTTTTATTCTACCTCATACTGTGAACTCTTAAGGTTTTAAAATATTCAACTTGCCTTTATTCTTTTTTTAGGGGGTGGAGGGAGCCTGCCAGCTGGTTAGAAGCCAAGTGTTATCCAGTCAGACCTGAATGGAAAAATCTAGGATTTGTTTATTTCATAGTTCAAGTTCAAAAGCAAGAGACAATTTAAATAATAAAAGAGTAACAGAAAAAAATGCAAAGAAAGAAAACAAATCAGTAAGAGTCCAGAAGAACCTTCAAGAATATTTAATTCGGAAAATGTTATTGGTTTAGAGAACTTGACTGAAAGAAAACAGCTGGGCAGAGTTCAAGGTTTTAAATTAAAAACAATCTAACAAGGTCTATGGGGATAACTCTTTGAGCCACATTTTGGAGACCAGATTCATTTCTACCAAGTAAAAGTAATAGCATTCTAAGCGAAAAAGGAAATTCCTCACAACTGAGGTAGTTACTAAGTATCAGCACATTTTCCAAGTTCTCACAAGGCAGCTTAGCTATTTACAATCCATTTTCCCTCATACATAAATGGAGTGCCTTTTCAATTTTATGTCTTCTATGATTTGTTTTTAAAAAAAACCACTTATACACACCAGCCAGAATATGCCTATTTTATTAACATCATGCTTTAATAAATAACTGGCTACTTCTAATAAAATTAAGCCTCTGTTTACAACAGCCTCCAATATGCCATTTTGACCATTCTGCAGAATTTGGTGTAAAAAGTTGAATGAATTGTAGACCCTGAGCTATCAAGTAATTATGTTTCAATATAAAAATAGAGAATTACTCTTACAACTGAAGATTGAACAACAACACAAACAACCTCTGTGTGGGTTTTAATGTCTGTAGAATTGGTTGGGATCTTAATGGCTGTCTAAAGCAGGAAGAGACTTGCAGAATTTTATTTTTTCTGAAGACTTTCGGGAACTCCTTTTAAAGTGATTTGTTACATTCTCATAGTTTTATAAGCTGTCATTTGGTAAGGACACAAGGAAAGGGTTTCTAAGGGGCTAAGGCAGTTGTTAGTCTTTGGCCTGGGACAACAGATATGGCCTTTGCCAGGTCACCCACATGGCTAAGGGTCACCACTAAGATGTCGTCTTCTCGGCTGTACCTACTCCCACTCTTCCCCCCCACCAAAAGACAAAATAAAACAAAACAAAAAAAACCACAGCACATGGAAAAAATCTGAACACCCAGATCTACCCTAAGTGGGCTTCTTGGCCGATGGGGTAGCACACTGCTGTGAACCACCTCAAGTCCTTTGCCTTTCTGATCAGAGGAGGCTGAGCAAGAAATAGACTCAAATAAGACACCTTAGAATCTTTTATAAAACTGGGGTCCCAAAATGAATGCAAATACAAGTGCACAGACAAAAACTTTGCTCGAGTGTGGATGCTATTCCCTGAGCCCAGGCTGTACCCACCCTGATTCTAGCTAGCCCCCAGACAGCTCTCTCTGTATGACTGGGTTTGAAATCTGGAACACTGTAACAAGGGGGACCAAATAAGATAGTCGATCGCTTATTTCTGCCATTGGGATATCAATTCAAAGAGGGTCAAGTGTGGACACAAAGACCAGCACACAGTGGCTAAACAAACAAAACAAACAAACAAACAAAACCCCACTCCTAAACTCAGTGTGAACATGTGATAACTGGGACATCCTGAATGGTCTTTTATCTTTCTAGGGAAAACGTATCTGGAGTCTTCTAAATGGGTTACACTTTAAGCGGGATCAAGAAATGGACCTATAGGTGATCTTAGCTTATGGAATTCAACTCAACCAAAATGAGTAGTCTGCAGTCTCTTCCAGTCACCAGCTATAAATGAAATATAACATTCTTCTTGTATTGATGCTTGAATACACCCTGACAAGTGGCTTAGAAGCCCCCTTGTGCCTTCGCATTCTGTCCTAACTCAATAATAAAAAAACAAAATCGCCTCCTCTTCTCTCCAGATAAGGCAACTAAAACAACAGGGATAAATGGAAATTTTACTGCTTGTTGGGCTTTTTCTTTTAATAAGATAACGTGATAAATAAAACCTGCTTCTGTACAGCTATTTAATATTTCAGAAATACGTACATGTTACATGCCAAGAAAGGACCCTGGTTTTCTTGTAAGAAACAAGGTGAGATCATAATTGAAGAAAAGAAACCCACAAACACAAAAACAAAACAAAACAAAAAACCAAGAGTGAGAAAAATCACAAATGCACAACTAACTACAGTTCTGTACCTACACTGCTAGCCACGTTTAACATGATCTGGGGAAGCAGGAACTGACTTTATGTACGAGTCCCCTCTTCCAGCAAAACTGAATGAAAAAAACAAGGTCAGCATTTTTTAAACCAGTGGCCACACAGTAAAAACTGTACATCGTTGTCCATTCATTTAAAAAGCAAAGTCACTAAGATGTTGGTGTAAAAGTGATAACCGGTGCCTTTTTACTTTTTGATGAACACTTTCTCTCTGAGAATTATCTCCACTCTCTCTGCATAACCAGGAACAAGATGCAGAAGACAGTGAGGAGGTAGGGCTGTGCCCTAATACGGGCACCAGCATGGCTGGCTTTATTGTTGGCATTCTTCCCAGAGTGGTCAGTTGCGTTGTACTCAAGCTCCGAAGGGCAATGCTGATACTCACATCCACTTCCACTTCCTTCTCCACTGTTTTCATCACCTATTAAAAACAAATACAAAGACGAATAGCGTTTTCATTCCGCTTGTTCTCGTCACAAGGAATGTAAGAACAATTTGTACTTTAGAACCACAAATGCTTACTGATATCAAAGAAGTCCACATCATTCCCATTGTAAGCATTCTTCATTTTACTGGTCATGACCCGAAGGGCCATGATTTGACGAAGAATCAGTATGTCGGGTTTGCTGGTGTCAACCTGTACCTCGGGATTACTGACCTGGTTGGCCAAGCCATTTCCTGTCACTGCAAACAGGTACCTGAAATGAGAAATGACCCCACTAAGAGAGATGATCAGTAAAACAAAAAGTTGCAGAAGATCAAAGATTTTTACCGCGATTTTAGTATTTCCACTGATTACAATTAACTGGAAGTCCTTCCATTTCTAATGAAATCGAATTTCTCCTTTTCCTGGGTATTTATCTTGTTTCTCCAAGTTGACCTTTTTGAAAGCTACCCATTTTGCAGAGGTTGGCGTGTCAGAGTCAAGTGCTGATAAAGTGGGTACTTATTTAAGTTACTGAGTGTGTAGGAGAGGGACATAGGGCAACATTAAATAAGAGAATGAGACCTTTAAAGAGCTGGTACTCTATGAGGCCAGGCAATCGGACAAAGAAACACAGGTATTAAATATTTTTTAAATGACACTACTGAAATGGCTTCATCCCTGGTGGAGCCCGAATGTCAGAATATGACTACTACCACAAACTTTGGCCCCAGTACAAGTAGCTGGGTGCTTTCCCAATACTTGCACTGCAAAACCCATACTAAGAACGTCTAGAAGCTTCCGTGTTGTTGCTACCAACTGTGAATTGCTTCATGATGCCTCCCTTGATTGACAACTGAAAAAACCCTCTCTGAAGGTTACCCAGCCATCTAGGAAGGGAGAGAGTGCAAATCCATACAACGGAGGCTAACCTGCTTTTGCCTTTTCCATTCCAGCAGTCATCTTCATTGCCATTTCCTGCAGCCATCCTCTCATCATTGCAAACATTGCTAGGAAGAGAGGACCAGAACTTCTTGGCCTGTTTCAGTTTCTCCTTGACATCAGTCACCTAATTAAGAAAAAAAAAAGAGACAGACCCCTGTAAAACAACACAAAACTACCTTACAGATGTGCCTTTTGATCATTTCTAAAGTATATCCAGAGTGATATGCAATTCATTTTCAACTTTAGTCACTAGACAAAACTGAGGATCAAAATTATACTTAGAAGTATAAAATCACTCAAATGAATTAATAGTTGAAATAATCTGAATGAATTGCTGGCTGCATTGTCCCCTCTACCTCTCCATTACAACTACCATCCAAGGCCCGCCAGGTTCCATGCCCTGTAGATACAATAAGACACTGTCTCTTCTTGCAAGCCTTTTATACGCAGGATCGAGCTTATTATATATTGTCCACTCTGTGACATTTGCCCTCCTGTACTCCCTCCCCTCCTCTCTGTTCCCCCCTACTACTATATTTGCAACATGTTGCTGTGTATAAAGCGGTCTGATTACATTTTATTTTCCTTCTGCCATCCCACCATTTACTGAACATCATCTTAAGTTAGTAAGCTGGAAAGCCTGCATTTCCCTCTCTGTTGGGACTTATGGAGAACAAGGGTCTGTCTTATTCCTGAGCCATCTTATAACTGGCAGTGATGGGCTCACAGTAGATGCTTAGTAAATACATGGTTAAACAACAGGGAGTTTTTGAGATAAGACTTACTGCATTACATTTCCTGAACTACGTATGAACTTTGAGCTAGAAAATAAGAGAGGCAGATTTACTGACACTCACATGCAATTTGCTTGGAAAGTTTCACCTGAAAGACTCACGTTTGTATGTCTTCCCTAAAAATGAATTTTCAGCAAATGTTTTCAGTTCTTTGTCATTAAACATGGCCATTTTTGCCAAAGCGCTCACCAGTCGGTCCAAACTAGTGCCAGCTGCTGTGGTTGGGCGTTCCTCGGGGTGATATGGCCTGAAGCGAGCACTGAAGGCACTTTCAGAGATGGAACGGGAAATTCGGCCAGCTGGGAGGGGCTTGGGGGGTCCACATCCCTGGAAAGCCTGCATTGGAGCAAGTGTGATCATATTAGGGAAGTCACATCACAAGCTGGGGGGGGCTCCTGGCTCTCGTTTCCAATATCCTGCCTTCGTTACCTTCTGAGACACTTGTACACTATTCTCCTGCATGTTCATAATAGCATCAGAAATCTTCACATCGATGGGATCCATGACCGACTCGATGTTGAAAGGGCCCTCTAGCCTCTCCGCCACCATCAGCATGGCATCTGACATGAGGTTTAGGGAAGAATAACACAGCATAAAAAGTAAATCATTCGTTCAGCTTGGGATAATCGGTCTGATAATTTTACTATCTTTGTTCCCTGTGGGGGTGAGGGGAAGGCACTCATCATAATGAATTCATGTTTTTATACCTATTTCTATTACACCAAACTGCACTAAGTCACTATGTATCACTAGCTCTCTAAAGTGTGAAGTGGCCAGATGAATGATGCATTCCACTGCAAGGAAACCCAATCAGGAATCTTCTATTATACTGATTATTCATTCTTCCGTGTGTCAAAGGCTGTCACTGTAAGGCTCTGAGCTAGCTCCCAGCTGACAAACTAAGACTAGAGGCAGAATAACATGCCAGTGCTCCCAGACTTCCTAGGATCTTTTCATTTCAGGTTCCATTTACAAGAGTCAAATACACATCTGTTAAAATCCTGGTATACCAATTCTTTATTATTATTTTTTTAATGAAACCCTTGCACATCACTGAGTGCACAGTTAGAAAACACAAATAAAAGTATTCCTAGGCATTCTAATGACATCAAATAATGCAATTTTGAACAATGCAATTTCTGGAGTCAGAAAAACTTCACATTTCAAATATAAGGGCCTCAATTTATTCTAAAGCAAAAGATGTACCTCTTTATATTTGAGTGAAAAGACTACACAGGACACACAAATGATGTACTCAGTGTGTCCTCACTAATTACTCTGCAAGTCATTTTTTTTGTTTGTTTTTTTTTAGCTGAGCCATCCTGCCACCTGTTGGCAACTCAGCGGCAGCTCAGCTCAGGCCATGCATCAAACCGGCAACCCTGTTGCTCAGAGTTAGCACCCTTGAGCAAGCTCTTAACCAACTGAGCCACTCGGCCGGCCCTGCAAGTCACTTTTACATGCTGGAGGAGTCTAGAATTTTTTTTAGTACACATTGAATCGCTTAAACAAAATACGCTATACTTGTTTTCTTGCTGTGCGTGTTTGTTGAGATTATGAGATTTTGTATTTTGGTCTGATACTTATTGGGCAAAATTAGAAATGTAATTATGTTCTCTCCCCTTTCCACTCTAGTGCTTAAAGCACGGCAGGAAAAGGAGTCAGGCTCCCATTATCCACAGCCTTCAGGTAGTCCAAGGACAGCTGCTATAGTTTCCAGAAGATTGTGTGTCCTTCCCAAAGAACACTGCAGGCCACAGCTGAACTTCTACCTAAGCTTTCTAGTGAAAAGAAGTTTCAGCATCAGCATATCAATGAAACCAAATTTGGTCATCAACCTTTCACCTTCAACCTAGAACAAATGCAACACAGCGTTTTAAAGCCCAGGGTCATTTCTCTAAACTGCAATTCCGATGTCACAAACCACAAATAGATTTCCGTGAAATGCAATTTTTTTAAAGTAATAACAAATGAAGTTTCAGATTGCATTGTGGTAAGCGCCAATAAAGTGACGCTTCCAAGCTTCCAACCTCTAAGTAAAGGCTGCCAGCATGAATATACCATTGTACTAGAGGAGAGAAAAAATGCTTTTGATGTGCTAGCAAAAGGAGACTTTTGTAAACAAGTGGAGCACAACTTAAATGTGTTCATCATTGTCAAAGCAGCAGGGCTGCCACGTACAGAAAGCACATTCCTTCATAGCTGAGAAGTCGGCCCTTGCTCCAAATAAAAATATTATGAATAGACAGATAATAAACATCCAAAATGCAGAATTTAAGCAAGAGAAAACAGCACATTTTGTAACTACTTATTCCCCTAGTGGCAAGGAAAGGCCAGATCACTAATGTGTTTGTGAAAGACTGAAAGGAAACATAAACCCCAATTCTTCTGGCTGTTTGGCGTCTTTGTAAACAGTGAGCAGGCCGGCCATACACAAGGGCCTGGGAATGGAGAGTGAAGCCGGGCCTTTGTTGGGGCCGGTGCCATGGCGTTGTGTGTTGCGCGGCTGAAGAATGCGAATGAGGGCGCAATCTGCCTATGGCTTGCAGTCCAGAAGCCAAAGCTCCCCCTAACCCCTGGGGGAAGAAGTCATGATTGGCTATCAACTGGGCTCTTCCTTGCAGCAGCCAGCCCTGATTAGATGCGCCAAGCGAAATCCAAAGGTGGTTGGTTTGGAGTTTGGGTTTTCTTCTGGTTGATCTAGGCCGTGGGGCTCTTGTTTATGGGTTATTTGACTGTCTACCTCCTGCCGGGAACTGGCTGGTGAACCCACCAGCAATCCCAATACTAAATTCCCTCTGGCAGCAACCTGTGACATTGGTACGGTTGGCTAGGAGTCAAACAACATTAACACTACTACAGTATGGGATAGAGAACAAGGGCACCTACCTAAGCATCATTTATGACGCTCCAGAAACTGGCTTTTCTGGTGGTGGGAGTATAGGGGCAGTATTTGGTTTGTTTTTCAAACTCAAGGTTTCATATCCCCACCCTCTTACAGAACCAAGTCCAGGGTGTTTCAAATATCTGGATCTACCTCCATAAAGGCCCACAATACTTTAATAGATGCAATTAAAGAGAGGAAAAGGGAGGGTATGGCAGCCCGAAGGCAGTTTCAGAAAACTCATCCTTGGTCTCTTAGAGGGTCTAGTCCAACTGCAGGATTTCGGTGCTCAGGATACTAGCATTGAGTCGCTCCCCCCTCCCAAACAACAAAGCACCGGCTTCTCACTAGGGAAAGTGATTCCTTTTCCAGTGTGCCACCAATAATCAGAAACCCACATCTTCAGCCTCATGACCCGACTGGAAGAACAAAAGGCAGTTTTCCGATTTAACCCGACGATCTGATTTAAAGAAGGGTGGATGGGGGAGCCCTTGATCATTCATTAACTGCAATCATTTAAAGGGGAAAGAAAAATTCCTTGCAAAGAAAAAAAAAAAAGAACTTATCGCAGAGGCATGTAAATTGGGACTGAATTCTGCAACCACAGAGCAAATTAATTAAACCCTTGTGAAAATTCATGAAAAAGCACTGGAGATTAACAATGTCTATTATTCTTGGCCTTTTATATCAGCTTATTAAAAATCAAGAATAAAATACCCATTAAAAATGAAGTTTACATACAATTATACACCTCATCCCTCCAAAAACTGTCATTTAAAGTAACTGACAAAATTGATTTAGAAAGCCTATCAATTTCTACTTGGGTTTAATTTTGTTTCTTGAAAGATAACAAATGTAATTTTTAAAACATGCAAGAACAGTAACTTAAGTCCTCCTTGTTGTAGAGTTCCTGGTTGAAAACATTGATTATTAAGCAAGCCAGAGTACAGTTTTGCTTTTTGATATGGACCTGCAAACTCTTGAAAAAATATGTAGAAGAATTTACATTTTAATACAGGATATGAGTTATAGTTTTGTCCAGAACATTAGAATAATAGTATAGTACAAGTGACACACTGCTCTGCACCTATTCCTGATGTGTCTGTAGAACAGTTAGCAAAACTAAATCAGTCACCATACATTTTTTTCGTACCATGTGGCAAATTCTACTCCTTTGCCCAGTGAAGTAGTGTGTCAGACGTTATAGGGGAGAGTGAAAAGGGCTACCCAACTTAAAAAAAAAAATTTAGCAAAGTGACCTGCAGACTTGACATGTGGGTGCGGGGGTGATGGTGGGATTAAAAAAGGAGAAAGAAAAACATCAACTTTAGATCTGCAAATGCCATGGGCTTTTATTTCCATGGGAAATATTTTAAAGCAACAGTCTCTCCCATGGCTTCATTCTGGGCATGATGTGCCATTTGTGCGTATGTGTCTTGCTGGTCTTACGCCTTCCCTTTCATGGGATCCTGCTTTTCTGTGTGTAGAAGATTTTTTCAGGTCTTCTAGCTTTGAGCTATTTAGGCTACAATTGTGCTGAAGTGCTTAATATTCACATCTTTTTTTTTCCTGTGTCAGTGTTCTCAAGAATCTGTTGGAGCCAATTTATTGATGCACTTTCAAAAAGAGTTAATATGGTAATTAGCTCTCATGCAGACTAAAAAGCATTCCCCATCGCCAGTCTCCCCCCACCCCCAGAAAAAAAAGCCAGAAAATTGCATACATGTTCCCCTGGTGTGAACAAATAAGTGAAAAATAGGTGCTTATAAAGACACACAAATTCTGCAATTATGCAAATGTGACTGGGGGATGGGAAAAAATCCGAGTTTGTTTTTATAAGCTATTAGTATGTGTGCCCAGCCCCACTGGCACTCAGCATTAGGAGCTTCACCACTGATGTTTCAGGACTCACATATGCATTAAGCAGGCATCAAGGGAGTTGATGACTGGACATTTAAATTATCCTTAATTTGTCCTTCCCCCAAATCATGATTAACCCTCTGAGAAAGTGGCCACTTCACTTACATTGCTGAGTTCCAGTAATGATTCTGTAAGCTTGAAGTACATGCGAGAATATTTACTGCTAAAATTATCACTGCAAAAGCTTTTCCATTCTCACCCGAGCGGTCTGTTATTGTCAAATCCTCTATAGAAACAGAATCCCTAGATTTCCACAATCAGGTTTCACCTGATCCAGATATCCAGTAAGTATCCGGCCAGTTTGCAGAAGATTTGGGTGCAGTGTAACAGATATAACATTTTAAAAGCCACTTCCGCAGTGCAGTGACGGCTATACACCAGCATTTACATGGACAGAAGCCTATGATGCGTAACTAAAACTGACCTTTGGGGGAAAATGTCAAAAAGTCACTTTCTTGTTATGAAAGCTTGGTATTCACTGTGTCTAATGTTTTCAGAAATGTCACCATTAGTTCAAGGGAACATTTACTTGTAGCATGGTATGAGCTCTGAGTGCAGTTCAAACTCTGGCAAACATTAAATAACGAACAAAATTCCATAGCTAACAATTCTAGCATTCCTTGTGGCCGGAAGCTGAGCTATTTCCAGCAACACACATACATTAATCGCTTGCTCACCTATGAAATTGTTCCACTCAAAATCAAGATCTCCTTGGTTGGCCAAACAGCCTCTCATGATGTTCGAGCAGTAGTTGTAACATGGCTTCACAGTCACTAGACCCTGGCAGTGGGAGCAGTAGATCATCTTCAGCAAGGCGTGGGTACACTGGGCCGTAGGATTTACCTAATTTGGGAGAAGAAAAGAGACAATGGTGGGGCAAAGACAGAGACAGAAATTGCAAGTCTAGCAAGCTGACCTTGAAGGTTTGGTCGTGTTTTAACTTAACGATGAGCTTTGATGGATCCTGAAGAAGTGAAAGAGAGCAAGATTACATAAAAGGAAGCTGTGTGTTGGGAAGGAGGTGAGGGGCATAGGGATGAATATTGTACTACCTGAAATAACCAAACTCCATGTATCTCCCTTTCGTCGTCCCTGTCTCTCAATCTCTGTCTCACATACGCACTCACTCTCAAACACGTTAAATGGCTCTATTATTTCAAAGTCCTTTTACAAATTTCTTTCCAGGATCAGCCAGGAGATGCAGTAGTAGAGGCTACCTTTACCTGCCCACCGCGCATGGCCTGCTATGGCTGTTACCATCACTGCATTTGCCCTGGCAGACTGGAACACAAGCATGTTTCTTTTCAAACACACAAACTACAGGATTGCATGTGAAACTTAACCCCCCAATCAGGGTTTAGATGGGTACCTAGCGTGTACTCCGTTCCATGTCGATAGCTGTGCAGAAGGCAAAATTAATGTATTCTACAGGAAAGAATATGAATACATGTAAACTTGGGGTTACGTGAATGCTTGGGAGCAGTCAAGCATGGAGTCCTCAGGGAATACTTGATGAAAGAGGTGGGACTTCAGCTAAATTCTGAAGAAGGAGTTGGATTTAAGTGGTCAAATAGAGGGAGAACATCCGGTTAGGAAGAATGAAAAGAACAAAAGCTCTAAGAGAACGTACCAAGCAAATTGTGGCATCTTAGAATGGGGTTGAGGAATTGTGAGAAGTAAGGTTGGATGCATAGAAAGGAGTGCGTGCATGGCCAGAATTTAATAGGGCTTCAACACCAGGCAGAAACCGAGACACCACATGGCAAGGGTGAAAGAAGTACTGAAACCATGACTGAAACCAGACTGGGCTGGCCGTCCTCTGCAGAGAAATGAGACTTAGATTCATCTTCCTACTTCCGTAAGGTGAAACGTTCCTGGGCATAGAAGAGCTGATTCCATCCTGTCACTCTCTTCCATCCATGCTTAGAAAGGATCATGGCTAGGTATTACATGCTGGCAGCTAACCCAAAATTCTGGTCTTCTCATTCTGTCTGCCCCACCCTCCTCTTCTGGAGTCAGTATCAGAGGATTAGTGCATTCCTCTCTATCAGTTCCAGCCAGTTCCGCAAACTTAGACTTTTGAAAGCAGATACCATGGCAGGGAACAGATGCTGGGATGCAGGGCAGTCCAGCCGTGCACTTCACCTACTCTGGGTGTGACTCTGGATACACTTATCAACAGTACCCTGAGGAACAGGAACAGGGGATTAGTACTGTCAGGAGAAAAACTTAACCTTGTTAGGCTACTATGTGATGTGTGCAAGTGCGCACACACCCCCTCTTATCTCAAACAGGACTCTAGCCTCTAAAAAGGGGGGAGAGAAAATAGCCAACAAAATAGTAATTACATATATATTAAAGTCAACATTCCCTACAGAGAATTAGGACTCTTCCACAGTTTTAACCAGTTCCAAATGTTTTCCTAAGCACTACATTGGTCCTTTTGACTACGTATTAATGTACAATAAAATCTTGATTGACCAATACCCTTAGAGGAATGGCCATTCTAGATAGGTAGGTTTTGTGGCTAGCTAGACGTTCATTCCTTTAAATAAGTCACACATAGGATTTTGATCCTTTTCCACCCCCTCATTTTACAGATGAGCAAAAAGTCCTGGAGAGAGGAGGTGGCTGGGGAATCATTGGATTGTAGACATCTTTGAGTTGGAAGGGGTCTTAGAGATCACTGAGTACAGCTCTCACATTTAAGAGAGAAGAAGACTAAAGCCAAAGAGATGAATCGCTTTGCTGACAGTCACCCTGATACATTTGATTCTAGTACTGTACCTTATCGAATATTTGTGATAAGATTTCCCAGATAGATCATGTTTCCCTGCCTTCTTAAACAGAACATATTAAACTCTAATAGTAGCCAGCAGTTGTTTTTTTGCTATTTTGTTAGGCTCCACATTGGTGAGACAGCTAAATGGCTGGATTTTTGAGAGGTAAAGGGTAATTATGGAAATGCCTATGAAAAGTCATAGAATAGCACGCGGCATTTGTTGAATATTATACTTAAGAAGAAACAACGCCCTAGTAAGAAGAAACGTAGAAAGCTAAAGAGTGTGAACAAATAGGTACTGAGTATGCCAGGGAGTATTCTGGAATATATTTATGATTAAGTAACAAGGCAAGTAGGAAATTTGTTAGAATATGGAACCTGTTCTAGAAAAACACAAAGAAATTCCAAAATATTATAGGCCTTTAGGAAATAAGCAAAAGTTTAAAACTCAATAGTTATATTCGAGAAACTTTTCTTTTTTCAAGTCCTTTCCCATTCTTTTTTTTTAACTCTAGGAAGTGGTCCACTATATTCTTAAGTTCAGTTGTAAGTCTAAATCACTTATGCAGTATGCCTTATAGTAGTACCCTTTCCTAACATAGGTTGATGGAGGCTCAAGTTTTAAAAACAGAGACCAAACTAAACGACACAGTAGAGCCTTATTAAAAGAAGATTATGAAGCTGGGTTTGGTGGAGTTTTTCCATTTCATTCTTTGGCTAAGTACTGGCTCATGCTCTGCACATGCTTTGTTGGGTAACTACTAAAAATGATCACAAGGAACTCGGCTCTAACAGGCTATGGAAACACTAAATAATACCAGAACTGAGGAGAGAGATGGGGAAGATATAAGAAAACTGGGACGAGAAAGGACATATGAAATACCAAAGTTGGAGAAAATCTGTCTTTCGTCTCACAAGCAATAATCAGATCGCCATGCAGTATTTTACATGAAGGGAATTCAGGATCTGGGAAATAAACCCTTTGTGTGGGCCCTAGTATAAAGAGAGAAGTTTTAAAACGGTCATGAGACCTAAAGAAACCAGGGTCCCCTGCAAAGCTCATTTCCCCAGACAAAAGTGCCAATAATGTGCCACTCCTCAGGCCTTGGGTCCCCACTCTCCCTGACCTGCCCAAGCTCAGGATGGTGAACCCAGAGGGCCAAGGACCAGTTCTACCTTCTGACTGTGGACTACTCTAGTGGATAAACAACATGGCTGTCTCTCTTTTGGAAGGGCTTCTTTGTAAGAAGCAATGTAGGTTGGTAAAAGAGCCAAAGGGGTACCATTGCCACAGGGAAGAAAAAGCCCAACAGTATATGGCGCTTCAATTTAAATGCTCTAAGTGGAGTTTCTGGTGAAAGTCCAGGATCTCCTTGTCCAGAGATGGCTCTTGCTGTCATGTCATGATATACCAGGCCCTGGTGGGTGTCCCTTCACAAGCTCTCAGTGGTCTTTCCACCATACCAGGGGCAAACCTTTCACCCATAAGCAAAGATAATACTGCACCAAGTCATACCTTGTTCTGCAAATTTATTAATTTTTAATAGAAACCCAAGTTCATCCACATTCTACTATCTTGTAATACTCAAAATCAATTATTTCTCATGAGTCCCCAAATAACTTATTTACAGAAGTAGTTTCACTCCAAAAGACCAAGACAAGACCAAGTGGTAAATCATGCCACATGGGGATTGGCAAAGAGGTAACTGCACTCCAAGGCCTTCCTTTAACCCTGCTATGTTATGTATTGTTTCTCCATGGCATGGCGTGCCAGTGAAAATGATCAATCTGATTGTTCCTTTGGGTTCCAGCTCTTGACTTAACATTTGATATATTTTCCTTTTGTTTAGAAGGGTCTGTTGAGCCCAGATGTCATTGACTTCCTGAATCCTTGGGGCTGGGGGGTAGGAGTCAGGTGGGGTTATGACTGCTTTTATAAAAGTCATGTTTTTCAGGGGCGGCCAGTAAGCTCAGGTGGTTAGAGTGCAGGCCCATAACACCAAGGTTGCCGGTTTGATTCCCACATGGGCCACGGAGCTGCACCCTCCACAGCTAGATTGAGGACAACTACTTGACCTGAAGATGATGGGTCCTGGAAAAACACACTGTTCCCCAATAAAAATTTCTAAAAAAAAAAGTCATGTTTTTTCAGCCCTCTCACAAAGATTAAATTCTGAAAATGATTACTGAAAGAGAACAGGGAAAGGAAAACTTTACACTCCTCCCTTACCCCTTTGAACCACTAACACAAAGAATGAATTAATGGTTATACTTTTCATATAAAAAAACCCAAGAATTCATAGTTTGAAAGAGAAAATGCTTATTTAATTTCTATGGTTTCATAATCATGAAAGTCTTGATGTCAAGATTAAAGAGAAAAATATTCTGTTCTTTGTCAGAATAAATTGTGTACTGATAGCTTTTATTTGATTTTCTTGATTTAGATGCTATACATATACTTATACTTACTATGTGCAGGCTATGTTCTTTTTTTTTTAAAGATTTTTTTTTATTGGGGAATTGGGGGATGGGAACAGTGCTGGGGAATTCGGGGAAGGGGAACAGACAAGTTGCTGTCGTTTTGTTCTTCAGTCTAGTTGTGGAGGACGTAGCTTCACTGGCCCAAGTTGGCACCATCATTGCGC